TATCGAGTATCTTTGGTTTTCTGCTGAGACATTGTGAGGGGGAGGGGATGGAGGTGGGTAGACTCACGGGCCGAACTAAAATTGCTTTACTTGGGCCTGATCTGGCCCGTTGATCGTAGTTTGCCCATGCCTAATGTAGACTTGTCAGTGTCACAAGTCAAGACGAGACACATCACAGACAGTGTTCATTTCAGGATTTTTCATGCCTCCCTCTGAGCGGAGGGTGTTTCGAAATTGCGTCCGTCTTTGTTTAGTTCAGTACCGATTGTAGATGGTGCTCAGCTGTGTAAGATTTTCACTAAGTTAGATCTTTGCACACCAAATTTGAGCTATCCCGGAGGTCCGCGCAAAGCTGTTATTATAAAGGCCACAGGTATCGCCTAGGGCTTCTCTGGACTTCCCAAAACCGTCAGCGAACCTCGTCAACAGCGGGCAAGTAAAACAAAGGTAGATCTAAGTCTAAGGTGGGTACTAAAGTAAAAGCCCTAAAGACCGACAGTCCTTGTGAGGGCGAAGGGGCAACAGCCCTAATAATCGACACCCCTTCTGAGGGCAAAGGGGCAACAACCCTAAGGGTAAACAGCCCTTAAGATTCGATAGCCCTTCTGAGGGCAAAGGGGCAACAGCACTTGTGAGGGCAAAGGGGAAACAGCCCTAAGGGGCAACAGCCCCCCGAGGGCTAGGGGGTTTTGAGGGCAAAGGGACAACAGGCCTTCTGAGGACTAGGGGGAAACAGTCCTTCTGAGGACTAGGGGGAAACAGTCCTTCTGAGGGAAGGGGGGTTAATGGCTCTTCTGAGGGTAAGAGGGCAAAGCGTGAAATGATCATCATCAAAAGTCACTGCAAAGAGGCACCTCTACTCGCCTTGACAATTCGAATGGAGTTATTTTGACGAGTGAAAGTGCCCCTGAGTACAATGTATAATGACAATGGAGCCGAAAAAGAGCCTCGCTCTCGCTCGAAGATTTCTTCGCGGAGTCCACCAGGCCCGATAAGCAAAAGTCATCATCATCATCATCATCATCATCATCATCATCATCATCATCACCACCGCCACTACTACCACCACCATCTTCCCCACCATCGCTATCCCTCACTCCCACATCACCAGGTGCTTTCTTCTGGCGTGTGGCGGAGCAGTGCGCGAGCGAGGGCTTCTGGCCGGACATCATCAGCACAGACCTGCACACCCAGTGTGTGGAAGGACCGTCCTACGAGCTCACCTGTACAATGTCCCGGATGTTGCACCTGGGCATGGAGCTCAAGGACATTGTGGCTGCGGTCACTAGCAAACCAGCCCAGGTTATCGGTGGGTACTCCTCCGGAGAATTGATAATGATGATAGTATATTACATGTATTGTGGTCATGTTGATATCATCCATTTCAGCTTTTTCCAGTACGATATTATTTGTTATAGGCTATAGTCAGTCCGTTTTAAAAATACAATTCTTTGTAATCATTTTGTTTAGAAGCGTTTAAACTCTCATTGAACTGCTTCTGCTTTGGGTTTTTTTCCTTCCATGTCTCTGAACCGTACACCAGTACCACTAAAATATTACTATTATTGTAGGCTATATCTTTATTTTAGTTGAGAAAAAACAACTTGGATACAATTTTTCTTATGTTTCAGGTAAACTGTCGGAGATAGGGCACTTGGGAATTGGCATGGCCGCTGATGTCACAGTGTTACGCATCGATGACATCAGCGAGGATCTGGAGGATGTAGAGGGAGCCATCAGGAGCGTAACCAAAGCGTTCACGCCGGTCGCTGTGTTCAGGGAGGGGAAGCAGTTCGAAATCCTGGAGGGCAGACGCTGGCCCGATCCCGAGGTGCGAGAGAAGTTAGAGGGCATCGCAGCCAGCTGGAAGCTGACGGACGCAAACAAAAACGCTACTGAAAATTGATTTTTTTTCCAGTTTTAAGTAAACAGATGAATAAGTGGGTGGTTGGCGGATGCTGCTTTGTGGTTTAATCCTTCTTTCCAATCAAACATCCATCTTTTTGAAAATCTCTCCTCCTTCTTTTGTTTGTTACATTCTGGTACTTTTTGTAATCTTTGGCACTTATGTGGCTTAATTGTGTTGCTGGTGTTGTAAAATTTTTACTAAAACTAAACAAATAAATGAAGTAACATTCTTCTTTTATTATTATTGGATTATTTAGAGATTAATGAGGCTGGTCAAACATTGTTGATATTTATATATGTATTTATTGTTTTATTATACGCAAGGGTGCTATTCTTCCTAGGCAAAATCTTTTAGGCTTGAACTTGAAATGTTCTTAAAATCTTATCAACAAGTTAAAATGTTATTGATTGGACTGCGTAGAGGTAAATAAATGCTGCTATATTGTTACTATGTTTTTACATGGTTTTATGACTAGCAAGGGTGCCTTTTTTGCTTAGGTGGAGTCTTTGATCACCTAAAATGTTTTTTGCAATTTTGACACCAGAGTCAGATTGATATTTCACCAAATGTGAGCAATGTTAACAAGGTTTATTCAATGTTGAGGAAGAATGTCTATGCATGTATTCAATTTTCTAGCCAACGTTTCTTTTCTTGTTATGGAAAAGAGGGTATTTGCCATTCCGGTACTTACACATGAACCGCGTGATATTAATTTTAGCATTGATCATTTTAACGCTTTCAGCATGTCTTTCTTATTTCCTTATTAATCAGAAGTTTTAGAAAATGGAAATTTATACTTTTATATAGTATATGTCTATCTATATATAATGTATGTTTATGTCCATTTTCACTCGCCCCTTTTCACTTATGCACTTTAACTCCCCTCCCCTCCCCCTCCCCATTTCCTCATGATTCTGTCAGAGATGATCGTCAACTTTCAACTATAGAGGCTCTGCTTCTTAAATAACCTTACGGAGTTCAGAAGGGTGCGCTAACCCTTTCAGTACAATATCTACTGTGTATTTCTACCAAAGACAATACAATTCTGTCTCAGGCAAGGCAGTGAAACCGGTGTCTGTGGTGTATCAGTTAGGCACTTCACCATCACATGTGAAAAACTTAAGCTTGATTTCCGTGTTGGGAGAATATATATTTTATCGAGTATCTTTGGTTTTCTGCTGAGACATTGTATTCCTGTCATGCCAGGTTTGCCCTGATAGACAGGGTCGAACTCCAAAGCCTGCTTCCAAACTGATCTGAATTACGTTGATGGAATGTAAAACATCTACTTTGAAAACGATGCTGGAAAAGTGTTATTACAGATACTATTGTTGAAAACTTTATCTCCCTCATGCATGAACATGGAAGGAAGAATGCCCAAATTACATTGTACTTAAATTGTCATGGGTATGCGATTATAAAGAAAAGAAACTGCTTGAGAAA